CGACAGCCAGGCCCGGCCCCTCGGGGCGCCGGGCAGCCAGGCCCCGCCCCTCCAGGCGCTCCAACGGCCAGACCCTGCCGTTCCTGGTGGCCTAGCCACTAAGCCCGTGGCCTGCGTGCGTGCGCGGCCCCGCGGAGACGTGCGGGCACCCGCGCAGTCAGAAGCTGAGGTGGCAGCGGTACAGCCAACATGGAACTGCCGCAGATGCCGGAGATGATGGGGCTGTCGTTGTTGCTCGGGCTGCTGGCCCTGATGGCTACGGCGGCGGTGGCGCGGGGGTGGCTGCGCGCGGAGGAGGAGAAGTGCGGCCGGCCTGCCCGTAAGTATGGAGCCGGAATCCATAGGGGAGACCGGTGGGGACCTCGCTTCCGATCTCCGCGTGGTCGGACCTGCGCTTCGGCCGGTGGCGAAGGAAAACCAGGAACTCCGTGGGCCTCAGTTTCTCCCCCTGTGAAATGAGCCTCGCTTCTAGAGACGAAGGGCCACCTCGTGGAGTTAGTTTCGCCCCTCGGGCTGGACTGGTTAGAACCTGGGTCCTTGCCGAGGCCACGCCACTTTCACTCCGAGCCCACCTGTCCCCTGGGTTACTGAGAGCTCGTAAGCCCTTCATCGTGCTACGTGTTCATGATTCTAGAAATTGGGAGTCGACAGCCATTCGTAAGCACTCTCAGTTCTGGGACATGCAACATGACACCCTGGGGTAGGTTTTGGGTCTTCTAAAGAGGCCATTCAAGAAGTACATCTACAAACGTTCCCCCCTAAATGTAGATCTATGAACTGTGAACATCTAGAAATGTAAGTAAAAATGTGGAATAAGTGTCATAGACCAGGTCCGTACTAGAAAGGGAAACAGGAAGAAGCAGTGATCAGCTCTTCTTTTTTGGGTGCTTGGGATGGATTGTCTGCAAATCTTCACTAACAGTGGGGAGCCAGGAGGTAGTGTGGGATCTTCTTGACTGCTGGTTGTCTGAGGAGAGTTTGCCAGGAGGAGGATGAACAAAGACTTCCCTGTGGATGGCAAGATGCATGAAGGCAGAGTCTCAGCACAGCATGTAGAATGACTTGAGTGTGAGGAGGGGGCTTGTAAGAGGTAAGCAGTGACTAGACTGTGTCCATCTTTGTATGCACAGCTCAGGTGTTTTTATCTTGTAGGAATAAGGGACCGTCTGCAGCCCTCTAACAGAAGCCAGCCTTGTGCATAGCCTGCTTTTCAAACAAGGTCTTTTATGCAAAAGTGACTGGCACTATTCCTGGCACAGGGTAAATGTTCGACATGTGCCGGCTCTCTGTCATCCCTGAGTTCATTCTGGGACTCCCATCCTTGAATGCTGAGTTGGGTACTCTGACTTGTACTTTGTATAGTCTTATCCTGTTCTCGCAATGTCTCTTTAAGGAAACCAAGGCCCAAAGCAACTCAACAGCTTACCTAAGGCCAGGGCCACCAGATAGGTTGTGTACCCAACAAGCTACATCAGTCTAGAAAGGGTACTTTTTCTCTCTTAAATTTTTGCCATAGGGCGTGTGCACTCACTAGAGAGAGACAGAGAAGGGAAGTGAGAAATCCTTTGGGGTTGGGGGGATGGCCATGCCACAATCCCTTCTCCTTCATTCTCATCTCAGATTTTGGTCATGCATGTGCATGTACTTGGCATCTTTTTCATGCTACTATATCTGGGACTTGAACCATAAAGTCGGCCACATGGGATCTAGTGTCTTAACTACCACACCACCACCTGCTGGCCTAAAAGGGTGCCTTTTCTTTTCTTCTTCTTTTTTTTTTTTTTTAAGAGGTTTTTGCTACAGGGCACATGCGCTTTGCTATAGGGCACATGCGCTCGCCAGAAAGAGAGACAGAGAGCGAGAAATCACCCCCCATGGGGGATGGCCATAGTGCAATCCCTTCTCCTTCATTCTCTCGGGATCTTGGGCATGCATACACACATGCCCAGCATGAGTTTAAGCCACCGGGTCTGGGACTTGACCCGCGGTTGACTACGTGGGAGTCCAGCAACATAGCCATTACGCTAACTGCTGGTCCCAAAAGGGTGTCTTTTCTAATTTTTCTAAGCATTGAGTTGCTTTGTGGACTATCTGCAGGCAGCCTCCTGAAGATCAGTCAGTGGTAGACACAGAATCTAAACCTAGGTCTGATCCAAAGCTTCATTTTCCCCACATCATACACTCTTTTGTTTCAGAGACGAGGGGCATCTCTTACTGCTTCATTCAGTGCTTGGTGAATCATGGGTTCAGATGCTTATAAGTTCGTGGATGAATGACATGGCCCTTCCTTTTAGGCCAAAAAGCAAATGGACTTCCACCTGACAAATCCTCAGGGTCCAAGAAGCAGAAACAGCAGCGGATTCGCAAAGAAAAGCCACAACAACACAATTTCACCCACCGCCTCCTGGCTGCAGCTCTGAAGGTATGCAGGTACCCAAGTGCAGTGCGCAGACCCAAGACTCGCCCCCTTGTATAATTATCTGTGCATTACGGACCTCTCAGCTTCTGGTCAGAATCAGTGGGGATGGGGACCAGTGGATATGCAATGGTTATGTTGCTGGGCTCCCATGTAGTCGACCACAGTTTGAGTCCATGACCCGGCAGCTTAACACTCACGTAGGGTGCATGTGCACACATGCCCAAAATTCCAAGATGAGAATGAAGGAGAAGAATTGCAGCATGGCCATCTCCCCTGGTAGTTGAGTTCTCGCTTTTTGTCTCTCATCTCACCGGCAAGCACACGTGCCCTATAGCAAAAACTTCTCTTAAAAGAAAGGGGGGGGTCAGCAGGTAGCATAGTGGTTGAGGGTCCTGGAATCCTACATGGCCAACCCTGCTTCAAGTCCCAGGCCTGGCAGCTTGCTTTTTCACTCTCTCTCTCATTCTCTCACTCTTGCTCTTGGTCTGTCCCTCCCTGGTCAAATTAAAACAAATAAATAAATAAAGTTGAATAAAATAATTCTTTAAAAAGAAAAAGAATCAGTGGGGCTGTCTCATTTTATCTCTTCCTTTTTTTTTTTTTTTTTTTGCTGTAGGGCTCATGCGCTCACAGATAGAGAAAAACAGAAAGCTAGAAATCACCCCCGCCCCAGGGAAGATGGCCATGCCACGATCCCTTCTCCACCCTCCTCTTGGGTCAGGATCTTGGGCACACATGCACACGCACCCAGCATGAGTTTAAACCACCAGTCTAGGACTCAAACCGTGGTCGACTATGTGGGAGTCCAGCAACATAGCTCTTACGCCATCTGCTGGTACCTCATTTTATCCCTTCTTATCCCAACCCATCCTCCATTTGCTGTTAATCCAGGCAATAGGGCCCCAGAGTCATGGCACTAGATTTGGCTTACCCATCTGTCCAAGTGCTTCTTATTCATACATCCTGTAACCCTTCCCCTAGAGCCACGGCGGGAACATATCTTGCATGGACTTTAGCAGCAATGGCAAGTACCTGGCCACGTGTGCAGACGATCGCACTGTTCGCATCTGGAGCACCAAGGACTTTCTGCAGCGGGAACACCGCAGCATGAGAGCCAGCGTGGAGCTGGACCACGCCACCTTGGTGCGCTTCAGCCCTGATTGCAGGTGGGACAGGATTGAGCCTCAGGTTTGCCTGCAGAAGCCCAGCCCCAGACTTATAGCCTTCTCATAACTGAGTCAGGGTAATGAGTGAGGAGGGACCCCAAGGACCCCCGTGGAGTGGCAGAAAGCAGAAAGGAAGCATTCAGATAACTTGAACACTGCCTGGGGCTGCTTGGAGGGCCATGCCACTAGGCTGCGAAGAAGCAGATTCAGGCAGATCCCTTCTTATCTAGAAAGTACCAGTTCTTGCCTTACAGATGAGTCTCAGAAACTATCATGGTTTTCTAATCCCAGAGAGAACCAAAAGGCGTCAAAGCTATGAAAATCTTTTTTTTTTTAAGAATTATTTTATTTTTAACTTTATTTATTTATTTTATTTGACCAGAGAGAGAGAGAGAAAGTTGAGAAAGCAAGCCACCAGGTCTGGGACTCAAGCCATGGTCGACTATGTGGGAGTCCAGCAACATAGCTCTTACGCCATCTGCTGGTACCTCATTTTATCCCTTCTTATCCCAACCCATCCTCCATTTGCTGTTAATCCAGGCAATAGGGCCCCAGAGTCATGGCACTAGATTTGGCTTACCCATCTGTCCAAGTGCTTCTTATTCATACATCCTGTAACCCTTCCCCTAGAGCCACGGCGGGAACATATCTTGCATGGACTTTAGCAGCAATGGCAAGTACCTGGCCACGTGTGCAGACGATCGCACTGTTCGCATCTGGAGCACCAAGGACTTTCTGCAGCGGGAACACCGCAGCATGAGAGCCAGCGTGGAGCTGGACCACGCCACCTTGGTGCGCTTCAGCCCTGATTGCAGGTGGGACAGGATTGAGCCTCAGGTTTGCCTGCAGAAGCCCAGCCCCAGACTTATAGCCTTCTCATAACTGAGTCAGGGTAATGAGTGAGGAGGGACCCCAAGGACCCCCGTGGAGTGGCAGAAAGCAGAAAGGAAGCATTCAGATAACTTGAACACTGCCTGGGGCTGCTTGGAGGGCCATGCCACTAGGCTGCGAAGAAGCAGATTCAGGCAGATCCCTTCTTATCTAGAAAGTACCAGTTCTTGCCTTACAGATGAGTCTCAGAAACTATCATGGTTTTCTAATCCCAGAGAGAACCAAAAGGCGTCAAAGCTATGAAAATCTTTTTTTTTTTAAGAATTATTTTATTTTTAACTTTATTTATTTATTTTATTTGACCAGAGAGAGAGAGAGAAAGTTGAGAAAGCAAGCCACCAGGTCTGGGACTCAAGCCATGGTCAGCCATGTGGGAGTTCAGTGCCCTTAACTAGGGCCACCACCTGCCGGCCCCCTGAAAATCTTATTTTTGATGAGTTGTAAAAGATGTTTAAACCAAGGGGTTATATTGTAAGGCTTGACTGTAGGTCATGAGAGAAGATCTTGCTTTTCCCCTAAACTTGGCATAGGACATGGAGCCATAGGTCTCTGTGTCTGGATGAGGGACTGACTTGTCTGCTGCCTGTCCCTAGAGCCTTCATTGTCTGGCTGGCCAATGGGGACACCCTCCGTGTTTTCAAGATGACCAAGAGAGAGGATGGGGGCTACACCTTCACAGCCACCCCAGAGGACTTTCCTAAAAAGCACAAGGCGTCCATTATCAACATTGGCATTGCCAACACAGGTAAGAGGCATGAAGAAATGGCTCCATTCTATTGGCTGAATGATTTTAACGCTGCATGAGTTTTTCTCAACTCCAGTGTGACAAAGGGGCTCTGGCTCTCAACAACCTGGTTATTTTCTCCCTCAGAGTCCTAGGAATCATAGCAAATCCACAGGGGAAGCAGATAAAAGCCACAGTCTTCAGCAAAAATTCTTAATCTTTGGTGACTCTTAGACTGGGAGGGGAGCACGGTTACTTGAGGCAGCAGAAGACTTGTAGGGGGACCAGCAGTTAGCGTAATGGCTATGTCGCTGGACTCCCACGTAGTCGACCGTGGTTTGCGTCCTGGACCCAGTGGCTTAAAACTCACGCCGGGCGCGTGTACGTGCGTGCCCAAGATCCTGAGAGGAGAATGAAGGAGAAGGGATTGCGGCGTGGCCATACCCCCTGGGGGGTGATTTCTCACTTTCTATCTCTCTGTCTGTCTCTGTCTGTCTGGCGAGTGCATGCGCCCTATAGCAAAAACCTCTAAAAAAAAAAAAGAAGTCTTGTAGGAAAGGTCGTCAAAAAATTCATGGAACATGCTTGTTATGAAAGAAAATTATGCATGGATTTTGATTTTTTTTTGTACCAAAATATGCTTGTATTTTAATTCCATTTTTCGTTAATTTTCAAAGTCCCCTCCCAACTATCTCTTTGGAGAATGACAGTGGTCATTGCTCTTAGCTCACGTCACTCCCTCCCACTCAGGGAAGTTCATCATGACTGCCTCCAGTGACACAACCATCCTCATCTGGAGTCTGAAAGGCCAGGTGCTGTCTACCATCAACACCAATCAGATGAACAATACACATGCTGCTGTTTCCCCTTGTAGCAGGTGAGGAAGGAAGGGCCTTGGCTTCTGAGACTGGGAGGTTAAGGGCTGGGGAGCTGGCCAGGTAGAGTCAGGAGACCCACCTGACTCCAGATGCAAGGCCCAGCTTTCCTGCTTGTAGAAGGGTATTTCATGCAAGCCACCTCAAGTGCTTTGTCTCTGGTTCTTCATCTATAGTTTTTAAAATGTTGGGGTAGAGGCTGGCCTCCTGGCAAAGTGGTTTGGTGCTGTGCAGAAAAGGATGGATTACACATGACCAAGTAGGGTTTGAGTTCCAGCTCCATCAGATGAAAAAACATGTCAGGGGACCAGCAGATAGTGTAATGGCTATGTCGCTGGACTCCCACGTAGTCTACTGTGGTTCAGGTCCCAGACCCAGTGGCTTAAACTCACGCTGGGGGCATGTGCGTGCATGCCCAAGATCCTGAGAGGAGAATGGAGGAGAAGGGATTGCGGCGTGGCCATCCCCTCTCCACAGGGGGTGATTTCTTGCTTTCTGTCTCTCTGTCTCTCTCTGTCTGTCCGGCCAGTGCACATGCCCTACAGCATCTAAAAAAAAAAAAAAAAAAAAAAAAGTCAGATCTTAACAGGATGGAGAATTGGAGGAAAAAGGATTGTGGTATGACCAGGTCCTACTAGGGGAGTGTTTTTTTATTGTTTTTTTTTTTTTTAATTAAATAATTATTTCACTTTAACTTTATTTATTTATTTACTTATTTTTAAAATTTGATCAGAGAGGGACAGAACGAGAGAGAGAAAGTGAGCAAGCATGCCTCCAGGTCTGGGACTCAAACCTCAGTCGGCCATGTGGTAGTCCAGCCCCCTTAACCACCATGCCACCTGCCAGCCAGAGGGAATGTTCTTTCTTTTTCTCTTTCTCTCTTCCCTGTACCCTCTTACATTAAAAAAAAAAAAAAGTTGGAGGTGGGTGCAGTATGCCTTAGAGCAAGGCTATAAGGACGAACTGAGATCACGTATATGAAAACACTAAAGTACAGTGTGATTTAGCTATGGAATGATCAACTCTCTTGGGTAGAAGGTTTGGGAAGGTATAAGGGGTTTCTATGAACAAAATACTCTTAAAATAAAATTTTAAGGGAATCTGTGTTGTATGGCAGGTTTGTGGCCTCATGTGGTTTCACCCCGGATGTGAAGGTTTGGGAAGTCCGCTTTGGGAAGAAGGGGGACTTCCAGGAGGTAGTACGAGCCTTTGAGCTGAAGGGCCACTCTGCAGCTGTCCACTCTTTTGCTTTCTCCAAGGACTCTCGGAGGTGAGTGCATCCGCTCTGAGGTTTAATTGATGGCCCCTCTTGGCAACCAGGATTCCTCTTCCTGTCTACTGCAGCTCTGAAGTGGGTGGGATGCCTGTGCCTTGACAGGAAGTAGACTTGGTCCTAACTAGACCTTCCTAGGCAGTCCTAGTGCCCTCCCTGCCAGGATGTACAGGTGTGCTGGGGTTTAAGCTGTGATTTTCCATGCTGCAGGATGGCCTCTGTCTCCAAGGATGGGACGTGGAAACTGTGGGACACAGATGTGGAATATAAGAAGCAGCAGGACCCCTACTTGCTGAGGACTGGCCGCTTCGAAGAGGCGAGCACCACGTTGTGCCGCCTGGCGCTCTCCCCTGATGCCCAGGTCTTGGCCTTGGCCAGTGGCAGCAATATCCATCTCTTCAACACCCGGCGGGGTGAGAAGGAGGAGTGCTTCGAGCAGGTCCATGGGGAGGCGATCACCGACTTGTCCTTTGACATCACTGGCCAGTTTCTGGCTTCTTCTGGGGACCGGGCGGTGAGGATCTTCCACAACACCCCTGGCCACCGGGCAGTGGTGGAGGAGACACAGGGCCTCCTGAAGCGAGCCTCCAATGAGAGCACCCGCCAAATGCTGCAGCAGAGGCTGACCCGGGCCCAGGAGGCCCTGAAGAGCCTTGGGCCCCAGAAGAAATGATTGGCAGGGCACTGCAGGAAGGACCTGCCACCTGCTCCCACCACTGCTGCCACCTTTCTCCCCAGCTGGAAGCCTTTTGAAAAGAGCCTCCTAATTTTTTACTGATGGCCCCTCTTTTCTCTTTCCCCATTGAAACTCTTATCTACTTCAGTCTCTTTGTCCTTGTTGATTGTGCTTTCTCCTAGCCCAAGGACCAAAGTGCTTCTCTTTCCTGGGCCCTAATGGGTGGACTCTTACCTTCCCTCCCAGCACTGAGGAAGGTGGTAGAGAGGAGAGAGAACATACATGGTTTTTGATCTTGTGAAACATACCCTAACACTTCTGGAAGTTTGTCATTGTGAAGATAAAACCCAGGGAGCATCTGAACACTAAGCAGAGATTTTACAAGTGTGGGAGATGGGGAAATCTTCCAGTGACAGAATCGTGTGTGGAGTCAGGGGAAGGCTGGGCTCCACACGGATTCACTAAGGGATTTCTTTCTGGACCTCAGTTTTTTTATTTGTAAAATGGAGTAGTCTTTTCTGGGACCTCCTTGAAAAGATGTAAGGCTAAGGAAGATGGTCCCTGCCATCAAAGACAGCTGGTGGGAGGGGTACAGGCACGCCTATGAAATGCTTTTTGTTAGTTTAGTCATAGTTACAGCAGACTGTTGTAAAAGCAAAGCAGGAGAAAGGCGTGAACCAAGACAGAATCAGTAGGTATCAAGTTGAAGGGATAGTTTCAAAAAGAGATGAACTATTTCGAAGTTTGAATTTTTATATTTGAGGACTGCTTGGATATAAGATGTAAGGGCAATAAGGAATCTAGGTGATTTGACTCTAAGCAAAATTTATTCATCCAAAGTCAGTCTTATTTTCTCATGAAAACTGGGACCTTCCCTGTTATCTCCAACTCTGAATGTTTAAATAAGCCATAACCTAGGGTTATCCTTGATTACTGTTTTTGTTACCACCCTACCATCCACTCAGAACACAATTATTTTGGGTCACATTCTGAATCTGTTGTTTCTCTCCAACTTCTCTATTACTATTCTGGTCCTAGCCACTGTTACATATTGGACCATGATAACTTCTTTTTTTTTAGACAGAGATTTTTGCTATAGGCCGTGTATACTCACTGGAGAGACAGAGAAAGCAAAAAATCACTCCCCCCCAGGGGGGGTTGGCCATGCCATAATCTTTTCCTCTTTTAATCTTATCTTGAGATTTTGAACATGCGTGTATACACACCTGGTGTGAGTTCTAAGCCACCAGGTCTGGGACTCGAACCACAGTCAACCCTGTGGGAGTCCATCAGTATAAACATTATGCCATCTGCTGGTCCCCATAATAACTTCTTTTTTGGAGAGGTTTTTGCTATAGGGTGCATGCACTCACCAGAAAGAAAGACAGAAAGCGATAAGTCACTCCCCCAGGGAGGATGACCACACTGCAATCCCTTCTCCATTCTCCTCTTGGGATCTTGGGCATGCATGCACACGTACCCGGCGTAAGTTTTAAGCCACTGGATCTGGGATGCGAACCGCTGTTGACTGCATGAGAGTCCAGCGACATAGCCATTATGCCAACTGCTGGTCCCCCCATAATAACTTCTTAATCGGTCTCTGCTTTCTCTGTTGCCCCATTAAATTACTTTTCTAAATAGCAGAGTGATCGTTGCAAATGTAAACCAGATCACATTATTCCCTATTTAAAACTCTCCAAAGTCTTCCCATTGTACTTGGGATAAAACCCAAAAATCTTAACCATGGTATCCAAAGTCCTATGTCTGGCTGTTTTCTATGAATTCCACAACCTTGCTGTTCAACAAGCTAAGTTCTTTCCAGCCTTAAGTTGGACTTATAGCTATGCTGTTCCTTGGAAACATTTTTGTTTCCTGCTGGCAGACTTGTCATGCTTGCCGTAATTTAGTTCTTGGTTTCAGATGAACTTCAGAGAGATACTCTCTGCCCATCCAATCCGAAGTAGCACTTTCCGCCAATGGTATCACACCGTCACATTAGCTAATTTTATGCATTTTGTATTTTGTAATGTTATCTGAAATGATCTTGTTTGGATATTTGCGTCAGGGGTTTCAACTGAAATGCTTATGGATGTCAGATGGATAACAAATGTGAGAATTGGGCCATAGCCATCTGGGTGGAAGGCAGTAGGAAACAGTGGGAGCAGTGAGCTGAAGGGCATGTGTCCTAGGGATAGGGTGGAAGGTGCTACTCATGGGATCCAGCAGAAGTTGCAGATTTCAGAGGAGCTGGTAGTTGGCTGCTTATTAAAAAAAGAAAAAATTAAGCACTGGATGGACCACATAAAACACAAATGTGGGTCAGATACATTTTCCTGGCCTCCCATGGCAGCTTCTAGATTGTCAACTAACCCACTAGAGTGGGAGTTCCACAGGGCAGAATTCTTGTCTGTCTGTCTTATCCCTTACCCTTACTTATCTTACAGTTCTGGGACAGAGTAAGCACTTAGTGCAGAACTCAAACCAGCGGCAATTGACAGAAATGTTGGCATCCATTTTGTGTCTTCCCACTCCAGTCCACACTGTGGTTTTATGTTCCTAATCACAGGCTTTTGACTGATAATGCTATGCACATGGAACCTGGTGAGTCTTTACTTTCTGATTGTCAGAAAATGAGACTCACTTTTTCTTTACGTATCTATTTTGAGAGGCAGCTCTGCCATTACCCGAGAGGACTGACTAAGCTGTTGAGTTACTGAAGTTAGGAGTCTTCAGGTCTATTTCATCCAAGTCACTATTGACTTGAGACCTGGAACAGTAGAGCACTTGACCTCTGAATTTGTTTTCTTATCTGTAAAATGAGAATAAATCTTGTCCTGCCTACCTTGCAGCATTGTAACTTTCTGATGAGATGAGTGAACGTACTACGAATGGTCATGATGCAGACTTCCTGGGGACAGGAGCTCCTCTCAATAAAGATACTGCTGCTTCTCTTGGATGTTGATGTAGAGCAGAGGCTACACGTTTTTATACTCCTATTTCAACTTCTGTGAATTTGAAATTTTTCAAAATAAAGATTTGGAGGTGAGCCAGTACCATAGTGCAGTAGTTAATTGCTGTGCAAAAGGAGCTGGATCCTACATGGCTGACCATGGTTTGAATCCCAGGAAGCTTGAAACACATGCCACAAGCACATGCATGTGTAGCCAGGATCCTGATGGAATAGAGAAATGGAGGAAAAAGGATTGTGGAGTAACCATACCCCAATGGGGAGTGTTTCTCTTTCTCTCTGTTGCACACATTTGTGTGCCTCTAGCATTAAAAGAAAAAAAAAAAAATTAAGAATGATTTTATTTACCTTTATTTATTTATTTTAATTTGACCAGAGAGGGACAGAGAGAGAGAAAAAGTGAGAAAGCAAGCTGCCGAATCTGGGACTTGAATCACGGTAGGCCATGTGGAATTCCAGCCCTCTTAACCACCACACCACCTGCTGACCCTCCAGAAATTTTTTTTAAAGATAGGAGGAGGCAGGCCAGCTCCGTAGCCTAATGGTTAGGGCAGCCAAATCTCAGATGGCTGACTGTGTGGGTCAAGTCTCAGACCCAGTGGTTTTGAAA